GTGTGTGTGTGTGTGTGTGTGTGTGTGTGTGTGTGTGTGTGTGTGTGTGTGAGCGTTTGTACATCTATCATTGTGAGGACCAAGAACTTTAGAGTGAGGACAGTTTTGGAAAGTGAGCACATTTTGTCCGGTCCTCACTTCTTCAAAGAGCTGTTTGAGGGTTGAGACTTGTTAAGGTTCAGGTTAGAAGGCCAAGTCTTATTTAGGGTTAGGGTTAGGTTTCGGGCTATGGGGCTAAGGAATGCAATATGTCAAGGAGAGCCCTCATAAAGATGGAAGTACAAAACTGTGTGTAGGAAACGCAAATCGTAAAGCAGTTTGGATACAAACACTTTATAAATGCAGTCCATTTACTCTTCAACAATCTACGATTGTATCTACAAGAGTAGCTTGATTGATTGATGTATTGATGTATTGATTGATTGATTGATGTATTGATTGATGTATTGATTGATTGATTGATTGATTGATTGATTCGATCGAGCGACTAAATGGCTATTTTGTCCTCCACAGGAAGTGCTGGTACTTCAGTGACCTTCAACCGCAACGGCGACGCCCCCGGACGCTACGACCTGTTTCAGTACCAGTGGAACAACGTCACCGTGCCGGGCTACCGCGTGATCGGACAATGGACCGAGGCCCTGCAGCTCAATGTGAGTTCATGTAGCTGTCTGTAGAGGACAACCAATGCCTTGTTCTAGTCCTTCTTTCTGTCATTCTCTTCTTGTTAAGTTGCCACTATCATTTCAGAGAAAAAGCAAATTTGTTTCTGGCAAATTTTAAGATTTCTTTCTGAGTTTTACCCCCTTCCTCCGGCTCCGTAATAACTTCTTTTTTTTTTACCTACAATGACCTGAAATACGCCGTCATAGTTTCCTACTTCCTCGTCTCCTCTGAGACACTTGAGTTTCATCCTTGTTTCCCTCACGTACACTTCTCCTCACATCTCAGTCCGTCCCACTGAAGACGTTTTTAGAGGAACCAGACGTCCTGAATCGTCATTTGACACGTCTATTTTTAGCTTTGTTTATTTTTTCCGTCTCTGTATCTTCCTCCTTACGATGAACCGTATCACCATTTGCACATTTATTAAAAAACTCATTTTTTAATACTGCGTACAGATCAGTGGAACCACAGCGTGTAAATAACTTCACTGTTCCGATGCATTTTTTAAATGTATTAATGATTTGCAGCAGCATTTAGTTTGTAAATGACGTTTTAAATAATACATGCTGTGATTAAAAGGTCCTCTAATGTGCAGAAAAGATTTATTTGCTCAAATGTTTGAGGGAAAGTGAAAAAAATATGTTAATCCACGTCAGAACATATCATTTCTACCCGAGGTGTGGATCTCGATTGTTAAGCAGCTGGATGGAGATGGAGATAGATCATTTAAATGTGTTTATTGCTGAAAGACAACTGCGTCTCCTGCTCGACTGTAATGTTGCATCATCCATGATGAGTAAAATAAGTGTAATGAATGAAGAAAGTTGTTTCTCTTGTTAATCAGAAAGAGGAGTAAGGACCAGAAGAGAGTCAGCATAATGAAAAGTACACATGAGAGCAGATCCTTACGACAAAAACCTACCTTTGAATATATATGCAGGTCTATTAATCATACATTACATTTGTTAATTACTGCCGTTTTAAAAGGCAAACAAAGCAAACATTCCTCCCAGCAGATTTAAATAATTTGCATCCACCTATGTTAATAACTGAAATACAAACCACTGTTACATTCTGCTTTCCCCTGTAATGTGTTTTTATCCGAGCCAAGCTGGGGACACGCTGGAGGATTATCAGGCCAGTTCACACCACATTCGCCCGTCCTCACAGTCTCCTAATTGGAGGACAGAGAGTCAGAGGAGATTATCTGATAGTGTGAGAGGTTTACATATTTATTCGGCTGTTTGATCCGACTCGGCCAACGGAGCCAAATGGACCACACTACACGACTGTTTTCAACAGGGTGAAGTGCACTAAATGAAGGAATAGAAGCCTGTATTTCAGACTTTATATTGTTCTGTCATCCATAAACATTCCTCTAACCTGCTTCTCTTGTTCAGCTCATGGACGTAGTATAAGAACTGCATACCGGACTGTGTGCGTAAGTGAGCAGCGGCTCGGCTTCCTCACTTGACATTGAGATGACGTTAAACGGATTAAAATAGCTTCTCTAGTCTCTGAGGAAGTTTTACAGTTATAAAACCTTTATGGATTAAAAATGTATAATACAGAAAGTAATAATTTACTCACAGTTTGTCCTGAAAACAGTGAACAGAAAACATCATAGCATGCTAACAGGCTAAGCTAAGATGGTGAACGTGGTAAACACCTGCTCAACATCAGCATGTTAGCGTCGTCATTGTGAGCATGTTACCATGCTTGTGTTATTATTTAGCTCAAAGCACCTATGTACCATAGGCTGTATACAAAAAGCGGACGTAGTCGTAGTGACGTCACCCATTGTTTTTGGGACTTGCGGTTTTGAAGTCTTTGAGTTTGTGTTTTTGGCCCTCACATTCTTGGATTTTGGCCGTTGCCATCTTGTTTTTTGCAACCAGTGAAAGAAAGTGACCTTGGACTGAGGAGTGACGTAGAGACGTTGTATACGTCTCTGGTAGAGACCTGTCAATCACAGTAAGCCCCGCCCT